CACATATAATATACATTTATATAATTATGTAACATTCATTTAATACTCTGACATTTAAAGATGACCACTTTAGGCATGACTTTGGATTTATGTGAAATGGTTAATGTTTTAACATTGACATTACATTTAACTGAGGTTAATAAATGCTTTAGATGTATTGTTTATTGTTTGTTAATTTCAACATTTACTAATATATTCTTAAATTAAGTTTTGATCATTTTCATTTTATCTATTAACATTTCATCTTCAATATTTTAATGTTTACCTTATTTTCAGATGGCAAAGGCTTTGAAGAAAGTGCCAGTATGGGAGTATTTCACTGAAGTATCACCAGGGAAAGCACAGTGCAATATCTGTGACAAAATCATCAGCATGGGGGCATCAACGTCCACAAGTAAAAATACCACAAACATGTGGTCTCATCTAAAGCACGTCCATCCAGAAGTCAGTGAAGAAGCAAAGAAAAAAAGGGACAAGAAAGATCCTTCTCAGCCATCAGTGTCTCAACTTTTTGAACACAAGACAGGGTGGAAGGACACAGATCCAAGGTCTCTTAAAATTGATGCAGCAATCATTGAAATGATTGCCATTGACAACCAACCATTTTCTGTGGTTTCAGATGTTGGATTCAAGAGACTCATGTCCCTTATGGAACCCAGGTACAGAATTAAAAATGAAAAGTTCTACAGAACAAAAATGCTTGAAGACACCTACTCAAGGGTTTTGACAAAAATCAGAAGTGAAGTGATGAAGGAGAAGGCCCCATTTATGGCGTTCACAACTGACTGTTGGTCTGGAGCTACAGAGTCCCTGATGAGCCTAACTGGGCATTTCATTTCTGAGGACTGGTCGAGAAGGCAAGTGGTGCTAAATGTCAAGCCTATGATTGGATCACACTCAGCCAGTTATATTCAAGAAACCTTCCTTAACATGTTAGGAGACTGGGATATCGCAACAGAACGTGTTGTTCTTGTCCTAAGAGATGGGGGAGCAAACATGGTAAAAGGAATGAGGCTGGCTGAACTTCCTGATTTAAGCTGCACTGCTCACACCCTTCAGCTCATTGTAAATGAGGGCCTATCTAGTCAGAGAGCTGTTCTGGACATTATTGCCATATTGAAAAGCTGTGCAACTCACTTTGGCCATTCTGTATTGGCAAAACAGAGGCTGAGAGCCATTCAGGAGGAAGTGGGTGTGCCATTGCACAACATCATCCAGGCTGTCCCAACTCGCTGGAACTCAACGCTTCACATGCTTCAACGAATGTATGAACAGAGACGGGCACTGAATGTGTATGCTGGTGAACACGGCCACATCAGCTGCTTATCTGCCACACAGTGGGACATTGTCTGCAACCTGATCAATACACTGGCTCCCATCGAAGAAGTCACAATGGAGATGAGCAACTCTGTGACTTCAGCAGCATGCATTATCCCCAGTGTGTCTGTTCTAAAGCTGATGCTGCGGGAAGAGGGACCATCCTCAGCAGGCATCAAAACTTTGCGCAAGACCATGCTTGACAGTCTGACAAGGCAGTTTTCCAAAGCAGAGGAGACAAAAATTCTTGTCCTAGCAACACTCCTTGATCCCAGATACAAGGCCCGTGCCTTTGCGTCTGAAGAAACACTTGAGAAAGGAAAAAAATGGCTAAAAGATGAAGCTGAAGAGTTTGCCAAGCTCAGAGATGATGATCCATGCCCTCCACTACAAGGACCTGAGCAGGATGAGAGTTTGGATCCAGAGACAAAGAAGCAGAAAATCCATCAGCCCACTTTAGTGGACACTCTGTATGCCAGGGTCCTTGGTGCCACAGCTGTCTCTCATGAGATGTATAGCTTTGAGACTGAGCTTGAGTGCTATTTGTCAGAGCCTGTCATTGAAAGAAGTGACATGCCTCTGCAGTGGTGGCAAAAAAATGAAACAAGATTTAAAACACTTGCACATCTGGCAAAGAAATTCCTGTGCCCCCCACCATCCACTGTGCCTAGTGAAAGGGTGTTCAGTGAAGTGGGCATGCTTTATGAAGCCAGGAGGAGCCGACTCACTGGACACCATGCACACCAGCTCTGTTTTCTCCATTATAATTTGAGGCTTCTTTAACTTTGAGTATTAAAATAGAACTAGAACTAGAACTGGACCATGTTACACTTGAATCTCTTGCAGTTCTTTAACAGGACTAGTTAAGTTTCTCCTGTTTCACAAGTTCAAGTTTGTTGTTATTTGGAGTGCCTTTTATTATTCATTTTGTATGTAACTTTTTTTTTTATTATTTGGAGTGTTACTTTTTGTTTCACTTTGAAAGCATGTCTTTAATTTACCTCAATATTTATTAATATATTCATATTTATTTCATATAGCACATTTTCATGATTCAGTACTGTTTTTTTGTTTGTTTTTTGTAATAAAGTTTAGTACTATTTTACATGGAGTGTTGTGTTTTTATTTAGTTTTTTTTTTTTTTTTAATCCAGTATCCATTTTAAAAACTATCGGTTAATTAATCGGTTATCGGCAAGTACGGACCAACCTAGCTATCGGTATCGGTAAAATTCAATATCGGTCGACCTCTAGTCTATACCATACTGTAGGCCTAATTCTACAAAACTGAATCTTTGCATTGTATTTAGTGCCATAGGCATACTTGTATTGCACTGTTATAATTCTTTATGGTTTTATCGGTTTCGTCTTCTAAAATAAGAGTTTAGTCTTAAGCTTAAAGGAAAACACCAGCTTTTTGATTTGCTCATTTGCAGTCAACCCCAGAGTTACATAAGAGGGTGCATATGCTTCCCTTCTCTCTTTTTGCAATGCCCAGTCTGACACCATTTGCCTAGCATAATTCACTAGAAATGGATGCCATCCTTTTTAGGAGTTGTAGGCTATAGCTAGACATCTACTCCCAGTGAATTACGCTAAACTAGATCAACAGTGTCAGACTGGGCATTCCAAGCACAGCTTAGAGAAGGGTATGCACCCTCTTATCTAACTCTGAGGTTGACTGCAAATTGGCTAATTTTTTTTAAAAAACATGCCATTTTCCTTTAACACTTCACTTAATTTAAGTTTTTTCACTTAATTCAAATGACTATATTTTACTTTAATTTTATGGTTTTTGTTTGGCAGCTATTGCTGCCAGTCATCTGATATTTTTTACAGATATTTTTTTGCTTTATTGAAGGTGCTTGATAATATATTTGTAAAAAAAACCTGTAAAATAAATGTATTTCTCTGCTGAACTTCCGGTGTGGTCATTTTATTGAAGGTGATTTGTTGCAAGAATTTAGGAGATATCTGTAAAATAGCAATATTTAACTGTTGAACTTTTGGCACTGCCCTTTTAATCAAGATATTTGATCATAATAATATTAAGAAAACCTGTAAAACAACAGTATTTATTTGTTGAACTTTTGGAATTGCCCTTTTAAGTAAGGTATTTGATCATAATAATATTAAGAAAAACTGTAAAATAACAGTGTTTTATATAAAAGAATAAAACAGACATTTTTTGTAAATTTAATGTTTTTGCACTTCATTTGAAATAAAACATTTTACTGTAATTTTACAGTTTTTGTTTGGCAGCTGCTGCTGCCAGTCATTTTACTGTTTTTTTTTTTACAGTGTATATAATGTAATAATGAAGATGTATTACCATTATTGAGGTCCAGACTTGCTGTGTGTCTGCTTTATCAAGGGGAACCATATATTCAAGCCTTAAGGTAATGATGTTCCCCTTTCGTATCTATGCACAAACGTATGATTGATGCCTGAAAAGTGATTCAGCTATGCATTTCCATGTAAAGCGCTGTCAGCAGTAGTTAATTATAATGAGTAAGTTGCCTACGATTAAGACATAATTAGAATAAAAAGGCCTTTCAGTACCAGGATATAGGCCTACCTATTCCTATTCAATGGCAAATGGTTCAATCTGTAATGCATTATATTGGTTGCCATATGATAATACTTTGACTTTTAATAATAACCACCGAATCTCAAAATTTGTGAAAAATTCAACTTACAGGTTTTTTTTGTTTTGTCTAATATGCTGAATTATACACTCACCTAAAGGATGAACACCTGTTCAATTTCTCATTAATGCAATTATCTAATCCGCCAATCACATGGCAGTTGCTTCAATGCATTTAGGAGTGTGGTCCTGGTCAAGACAATCTCCTGAACTCCAAACTGAATGTCAGAATGGGAAAGAAAGGTGATTTAAGCAATTTTGAGC